TCTCTCTCTCTCTCTCTCTCTCTCTCCTATATATATATATATATATATATATATATATATATATATATCACTTCAGAGTTAATAGCCAATAATATAATTTAGTTACTTAGGTTATATGATCCAATAATTATCAGATTGTTATGTTTATTATAATTTGAATTTTAAAATATAAATACTTGATGTTGAGGCAAGTAAGTGTTACAAATGTCACTTTAAGGGGTAAGAGGTACATAAGCTATACTTGAGGGGTGTAAAGTAGGGGTGAGCAAAGAAACCGAAAAACCGAAAAACCGAACCGAAAAACCGAAAAACCGAGCCGTTTTAAATCGTACCGAATAGCAAACCGCATGTACGGTTTTTTATTTTTGAAATACCGAATTATTCGGTTCGGTATGGTGGGAAGGTAAATAATCGAACCGAAAAACCGAACCGAACCGAAACTATAAAATGACTTCATTTTATATAATATATTTATTATTTTACCCTAATATTTATTTTCTATCTTTCAATTACTTGTCTCATTCTAAGCATTTGTCATAAATTGAGACATTGTATTTTATTTATTTAGTAAGTAAAAATTTACTTGAGTTCATGGTTTTAATAATGTGGTAGATGAAAGTAGGAAAAAAAAATGAAGCATAATACATCATCTAAATTATGTTAAGTCCTATGAAACTAAAGATTTTACATTTTCATTGCATTAGTAAGTTGTGAAAGTAATTGTAATTGTATTCTTTTGTTTGTACAACTTGAATATATAGTGACACTTGAACCGAAAAATAACCGAAACCGAACCGAAAAAAACCGAAACCGAAAGAAACCAAACCGATAAAAAACCGACATACACGGTTTTTAATTTTACAAAAACCGATATATTCGGTTCGGTTCGGTTTTTGGCTAAAACCGAACCGAACCGACCCGTGCACACCCCTAGTGTAAAGTGTATTCAACCCGTAAAATTAAAACCCATAACAAATTAGAAAGACCGTTGAGTTTCTTGTATTGATTGTCATTTAGACTTTACATTAATACATATTTTTTGTAAATTCATGAATCCGTTTCATCTACTTCTTTCTTGGTAGGGTAAACATTATTCTATTGTCTATTGCTTTTATGTGTTTTTGTCAAGTGAAATCGTAAAACTCTGTTACTTTAATTAGTATACAATAAACTACTGATTAATTGTAATTTTAATTTTTTTAGGAAATTAATTGTAACATAATATTATGTAATTATCATTTAAATTTTATTTTTGTTTATGTAAAATATATTCATAGAGATTTTCAGTACCTACATAAAATGGTACTAAAATTAAATTACACTTTTATGTATTGTTTTTAAAATATAATAAACTACTGATTACCATACAATATATTACCGACTAATTATAACTTTATTTTTTGAGGAAATTGATCATAAAATAATATTATCCAATTACACTTTAGATTTTATCTAGCTATAGTACATCATTATGTATTTATTTTGCCAACTTTAAATGTCATCTTTAATTAATTACGTGTTTTTTTAATATAAATTCAATTGAACTCAATTATCAAAGGAAGAGTTATTATTAGTTATTACTATTATCAAAGTATATATTTAAATGACCTTGTTGTCCAATAAATCCTATATCTAAAGTTTATTTTATAGGGTAATTTTGTCCATACAAAAAAGGGAAGAAACCTCCAAACTATTCATACTTTTATAAGTAGTATAGACTTATGTTACATAAGGCGATAAATAAGATTGTTATTTTAAAAGAAGTTATGGGTGAGAGAATATCTTGTTTGTTTAAAAGTTTTTGAATATTATGTTGAAAAAACATATGCAAAAGTGAATGCTCGTCTATAAATTTGGCCCCGTTTGGAGTATTAATTGGGGTTTGAAGTTATTGTTACCTTAATGAGAAGTTTTGTAAACAATTCATTTTTTTACTTCTATTCGTGTGTAAAGTAAATGTCTATACACAAATTGGTTGTTGACAACATTCATCTATCTAACTATACAAAGGAAGAACAAATCTCATAACAGTCGGAATTTATACAATCATGGAAAATATACAAGGCACAATCAACTCCTAATATAACTAATTAAGAGTAGAACTCATGCCAACACTCACCCTCAAGTAGAACTAATAAAGATGTCTTATGTGCCCATCTTGTTAAGAGAGCTATAGAAGTTTTTGTTGGGGACAACTTTTGTAAGCATATCACCAAGTTGATCCTCTTACCTCACAAAAGGAACTTAATTACACCTTCGAGATTTTGTTTGATAGAATGTCGTTGTATCTCAATGTGTTTTATTCGTTTATGTTGAAATCGGGTTTTGGGATATTTCAATTGCTACCTTATTATCACAATACATATTCATTATTGAGTTATAAATAAATCCAATCTCTGAGAGTAGTCTTCTCAGTCACAAAGTTAGCAATTCCTCGAAACTCGGCTTCAGCACTTGACAAAGCCATCACATTTTGTTTTTATTCCTCCATACTTAACCATGTTACCACCAACGAAGGTGAAGTATCCTTATGTATATTTTCTATATGACAAGTTTCCTGCCCAATCAATATCTGAATAACCCTCAATTTAGACATAACCATTCTCCTATAACATAATCTCCCTTCTCGGAGCTGATTTTAAATAATGAAGTATTCTAACAACTGCATCTATATGGTCTTTATCAAGGGAATGCATAAATTGACTGACTAAACTAATTACATTAGAAATATATAGACGAGTGTGGGGTAAGTAATTCAGCTTACCCACTAATCGTTGATACCTCCCTTTATTAGTTGATTCTAGATTCGGATACTCTAAAAGTTTATGGTTATGAACAATTGAAGTGTTAGCTGGCTTGCACTCAAGCATTTCTACGTCAATAAACAAGTCAAGTTCATACTTATTTTTTGAAAGAAATATTCCTTTTTTGGACCTAGCCACTTCGATACCCAAAAACTATTTAAGTTCACATAAGTTCTTGATTTCGATTGTTTATGCAACTTATCAATTTCTTCTATAATCTCTTCTAATAATCATGTCGTCTATACAAATTATCAAGGCAGTTAACTTACGCTCTTCTTGTTTCAAGAAAAAGAGTGTGATCTGAGTTGCTTTGATAAAAAACATACTTTCTCCAAGCCATGCTAAAAATGACCAAACCATGCACGCGGTGATTGTTTTAGACCATATAGAGCCCGTTGTAACTTACAGACAATTCCAGGGGTCATTGCCCAGAGAATATCAATATATACCTCTTCCTTAAAGTCTCCATGAAGAAAGGCGTTTTTACGTCAAATTGATGCAACGACCACTCTAAATTTACAGCCAAGGATAGCAAGACTGTAACAATGTTTAATTTTGCCACTAGAGAAAATGTTTCTTGGTAATCTATTATATACGTCTGTGTAATACCCTTGGCTACCAATCTCGCTTTGTATCTTCGAACACATCCGTCTGCTTTATGTTTAATAAAAAAGATCCACTTACGTCCAACCGCGATACCATTTTTTTTTTATCTAGGGCTTCCATCTCTTATTAAATTGCTCGAGATCACAAGAGATCAGCCAAGGCTTCATGAACTCCATTAGGAATTTGAAATAAGGACAACTTGTATGCGGAGGCGTTAAGAGGATCCTACAACCCTTGGGATATTACATGATTGGAGATTGGATACTTCGAGCGTATTCTTTCATCATCTAGTGAATAGCAAGAGGCTTTCCTCGATTGTACCTGAAAGGTAAGTGATAACCCCATAGTAATATTTTGTGTTGGTGCAATAATCTCTTCATCACAAATCCATCATTTTTGCTCTTTATGACAAGTCTTCCCTTGAAGATGAGAGCTTGGTACTTGTGGTGAGTAAGAATTCTCGAATTCTAAAAAGGTCACATCCATGGTAATATAAGTGCATTTTTTAATAGATCATAGCATTGATATCCCTTCTTATTTGCACCATATATAAACAAATACAACGAACAACACAAGGTTCAAGTTTTGTCCGTCAATTGATTTTTATGCATATGAACAAATGCAAATGGAGTAAGGAGTATAGATGGTAGAGTAACATGTTGCGACATCACTTGCAACGGAGGATTAACGTTCAAGCATTTAAAAGACATTCTATTCATTAAATAAACAGTCATACCAACAACATCATCCGAGTTGCAACTAAGTACTTTAGCTCCAATAAGCAATGCACGTGGGGTTTCTAGGATATGCCGGTTTTTTCGTTCAGCCACCCCATTTTGTTGCGGAGTCCGACTACATGAAAAATTCATGGATAAGACCATTATTTTGAAAGTATTTTTGAAAATCTTGACTCGCAAATTCTCCTCCATTATCGGATTTTAGAATTCGAACTTTAGCTGAAAATTAGTTCTTAATGAGAGCATGAAATGTCCAAAATACACCAAATACCTCATCTTTGCGTTTCAACAAATATAACCATGTCCTTTCTAGTGGAGTAATCAAAAAAATTCACAAACCTCTATCATAGTAATGGGAGAAGGTCCCCAAACATCGGAATGAATCAAAGCAAAAGGAATATCACTTTTACTATGATTTATTGGAAAGGGTACACGGTGGACCTTCGCTAAATTGCAAGTTCACATCTAAAGTTTGAATTATTCAAATTAAAAAAAAAATTGTGGAAATAAATAATTCATCAAGCCAAATGGTGGATGTCACGACTGACAATGCCGAAGAAAAATTTGTTTTCTCTTTTATGTAGTGTGAATGACTCACATTATTGACTTAGCCACAGCTTAAATCATCCATGTAATATACCCCTCTCTTTTAGTACGACGCCCAATGATCTCATTTCGTGAATAAAGAAGGCAAAATTGTGGATACATTAGAGCTATACTGTTTTATTCTTCAGTAGCTTATA